CATTTTCCGCAATTTTCTAAATACTTTTGACAATATTTAGTATTCACTCGATTTGACAATAAAAACTATTAATTGAATTGAATTTATTCGCTCTTAAAGTCTATAAACTATTAAATTAATTAATTTCGGTATAAATTAACATAAAATCTAAAAATATATATTGAATAAATGGTATAAATGTCTCATTTTTGTAATCAAAAAGATTTGAATATTAATTAAACTATTGGTTTCTAAACGCTTATCAATACAATATGTGTTGAATACTGTTATAACAAGAGCTGTCATAACGTCTAATAAATGAAATAAGTCTTGAAATTGTTAAGCATTTCTAGCATTAGTCCAACCGTTGGTTTTGATGTGACAAACATTTGCCTGATTTAACAGTAATCAACACTTTTCTCAATTAAAATGAGATATCATTTGGTTTTAGCCGTAATTGTATTCACAATTCAACTCAAATCCGGTAAACCATAGACTTATATAGCAATCGATGAATACAATTAAACATAACTTTTACGTCTAGTGAATGGTTTGTCGTGTTATGTCTGCAATTCAGTGACCGATAAGGACTGCACTGACATATCGGCGCCCAATAGTGACCGCTATGTCATGAAGTGTGCGGAGAGAGCGGCCAAACGGATGGCCAATTTTACAGACGCCCTCTCAGCCAATCAACTCCCGCAACCCATCAACTCTTCGGACACTAACACAAGTATATCAGCGCTCACTATATGTTTGACTCTTTTGATCATATCTTTGGCTAATTGTCTTTATTTGATGACAGCATTCTTCGCCAGCTGTCAGTTCTGTAAGGCTTACACTTCAGCCCCAGAACACAAACAGTGCTCTAAACTGGTATACAAAGGTTAGACATCAATCTGATCCCAATTGGATCCACAATTCAATGAGTTCTTTGTTTGTCAGTCGGAAACTCCTTGGGACACAAAGTGGAGGCAGTGGTGCGAGACTGCGGAGGACTGGTCAGTGAGGGTCGGATCGGTTGCTTTAAAGTGAGACACTCTGACAGTGCACTCAAGTCGGAGATCTGTCACTGCAATCAACTTAATTGCAACTCAAGTCACCGAAGAGTACATCAAAACCACTTTTGGCTCAATTATCTGCTTTCGGCCGTCATTTCAATCAATTTTATCTTTAATTTCGTCTAACGTTTCGTTCAATTTCTCAAATAATTAATACATTTTCTTTGCGAATGAATTATAAATAAAATTAAACCCGAATTAAAACAGAAAACATTGACTTTATTTTGTCCGCAAAGTGTGTTGTTTATCGAAATATGATTTCTGTGCCGAAGAGGACAACCGTTTGTGTCGTTTTCGGTCAAAAAGCATTTGGTCTTTAAAATTGATGCCATTTTTCTTGTCCTTAGCCTTAATGGACACCAATTGCTGCAAATCTGTGGTCACATCCATTACATTGAAATGAGTTGATTCCGTCTTCAATGTCGACGACTTCTTTGTCTTCTTTCGCTTCTTCGGCACAATTGTCTCGTCGTTTGCGGTTATGTTTCGCTTGGCTTTCGGCGCTTTGCCATCCATTGAGATCTCGTCCAACAGATCCACAGATAGTTTGTCGATCTTCTGCTCGCTCTTCAAACTCTTCTGTTGACAGTATTTATCATTAATTAGTTTTCGTTTATTCTTCTGGAGTTCGCGGTAAGACTTGACGGCATTCTTCCGCTGTTCAAAGTCGGCCACAAACGCCTCTTTCGTGGTCTTCGTGTCCACCTCTTCGGGACCATCGGATCCATCGCTGCTGTCGTCCATAAGTGGATCCATTGAAGGGACAAAACATAGATAATAACGGATACAACTGAAGAAGTGGTTAACAATGCGTTCAAAACAAATGAAAACAGTATTTAAATGTTTCACACGTTTTGTGGAAAAGTAGTCAACAATTAATGCCATCTTTTGACTCAAATTGTGTCACTTTTTGTGTGAATTCAAAAAGTTTTTGACACAAAAAGTTTCACACGATTTGCGGCACAAGTTTTTACATTCAATAAGTTGTCAAACATTTGCAAAACATATTTCCAATTAAACTCTCGGTAATCAACTCTTTGTGCCAATGATTAGCGGCTAATGCTATGGGATTTCAACACATGAACGATGACTGCAGTCATAATGAATAGACGATTGGGTCTCATATATGACAACCCTATGGAAAGCTAACCACACATACAGTCAGCTATCGGTTGAAAGTGTGATTCAAACTGAATGTGAACTGTAATTGAGTGAGAGTTGAGACACAATGTATTGGCTGTGAAACAAAAGCATTGCTTTCAGAGTGCAGTCAATTCAACGCTCGCTTTCCGTTCACAACACGTGCTCTCCGTTTGGGACCCAAAAGAGTGACCGAAACGAGCGATCGCTTCCAACCGATGGCAACTCTCCCGCCGGCCAATAGGGGCCGAGACCTCGGCCTCAAGACGTGTCCGTACAATAGCGAGCATCGCGTGAAGTCGAGTCGCTTCCAGCGACACATCGCTGAGTGCGCCAAACAGTACCCAAACCACGGCCTCAAGACGTGTCCATTCAATGCCAGTCATCGCATACACAGCACAC